AATCAGGTAAAAATTCACCTGTTTTATTTGGTAATTAGTGGTCTGTATCAATAAAGCATGTACTTAGAACATATTATTTTATTACCTGAATTGCTGATATATTTCCTCCATTCATTTTTGTCCTTGAATTTTTATAACTCCTAAGAATACAAATGCTTTTTAATCTGAAATGTTTAAATAATTATTTGGAATAATAATTATGACTATGTAGACTAAAAGGATAGAAATCGAATATCATAAAAAATGTGTTGATAATTTTGAAATGTTTAAATAATTATTTGGAATAATATTTATGACTATGTAGACTAAAAGGATAGAAATTGAATACCATAAAAAATGTGTTGATAATTTCAAATATTCTTGATAAAATTTTTAAATATTCAGTTTCATATATTTATGTATTTAAATTAAAATATCATCCTACTGCTAAGGAAAATGTTTATTAAATTTGAAAACATATCCAGATGTTCCCCCGAGATACAATTTAAATAAAGAAGATTTCTTTGACCCAACCAGCTTAGATATTCTTTTAATATAATTAGATATTTATTTACGATGTCCATTAGGTTATCCCATATTTTAAAGGGTTTCATATTTGTATACTTTATTATGGCCGGCCTAGGATTTTACTACAAAAAGTCTTTCATAGAAGAATTCTTCTGGAAAATTATTTATCCAGAATTATTGAAATCGCCGTAAGGAAACAAAAATAAAATTTTTAAGTTTTGCATAAAGTTTGCTTATATAGCGATATAACTTCATTCTTTGTCGATTGTATAAGCTTTACTCTATTGCAAATTACAACGTTCCCTTGCAAAAAATTTACGTAAGTTTTTAGCCAGGAATTAATTAATAAAAGTTTTCGTTTTCTTCCTCCAATTCGATCAAAACCACTAAAAGTTTTTCCATTTTTAAACTAATCGTGTTTAATGATTTTAGATACTACATATAACATTAATAGAACATATTATCCTAATCTTAATTAGTGCTCTTTTTAGTATACTTCCTTAATACGCCCTACTCGTAATAAGAATTATTAATTTCAATATAGCCAATTATAGCCATTTACTTCAAAATTGGGCTTACTACCCTTAATAGAGATTATTAAATATTTTTTCAGTACTGTAATATTATAATGTATTGTCTATGATTAGAGCTATTAACTTCAAAAGGAGTTCTGTTTTAGTATTAATTCCATATTCGTAGAGTCCAGTTCTTTTAAAATTTAGAAGAATTAGAATTCCTAATATATGCTACCATTGGCTTAATAGGCAATTGGGAATATAAGTTCATATAGTTCGTGCTTCTATGTGAATGGCGCAGAAGTATAGATAGCAGACGTATATATATATAGTTTTCTGGGTCTCTTCAGAACAAACCATTCATAACAGAAACATTAATTATTTTCATATTACCTTTCAATATATTAAAGAAAATCAGTATTGAAGAAAATCTTTATTTATCTACTTTTCACTTTGAAATTAGAAGAAAGTCAGATTAAATTTATATTGTATCTATTATAGACTGATCCATTTAATAATGTTGAAATCAATTAAAATCCCAAATTTATACAGATTATCAAGGAACTTGAATTTTGCATGAATATGACTATTTTGACAACTAGACTGTTATGGCGACATACTGTCAAATTTTTGGAAAATGTCAAAACAGGTGAAGCAGTTGTGGCTTTTCTACTTGTTAAGCCATAAAATGGCACAATTGCCGATTATTTGCCTACAAATCCCCCATGTTTACCATAAATAAATAAATATATGAGCTTATATGAGCTGAATGCAAGAGACCAATCTGATCAATTAAGCCAAGTAGGATGAATTTAATATTTGAAAAAAGAAATATCAGTTTTTAGTGTATACAGTTTTTAGTGTTTATTTGAAAAACTTTTATTGTTGCAAGAACAAGATGAGACTTAATTATAATATTTTACATATATTTTACATATGAAATTTAAAAATAATACAAATTAAAATAAAAACTTTAGTTTTAAGCAGTTTCGACTTTATCTTTTCTTTCTTTGAGGTAAGCATCTAATTGTGCATCTAGTTCTTCAGCTGTCGGACTTTCACGTTTTTTTCCTTTAGCAACACCTTTTCCACCATGGTTATTTTTAAATGATGTCTTCTTTTGAGATGTAGTAGGTCCTTCTTTCGTTTGTTTTGGAGAAGGCGCTTGTCGCTTTTTTACAGCAGCTATTCTATTGCCAAGACGTTCTTGCAATCCGTTTTTGAATACCGATAAGTCTGAAGTCACTAATTGTATATTCATAGGTCGTCCATCTAAAGTTACTCCATTGTATTGTTTAATTGCTTTGTAGGCATCGGTGACTCTTTCGAAAATTACATCAGCTGTAGCTAAGGAGCGTCCAGAGCGATCATAATGCACTGCTGCTTTCTTTAATATTCCACATTCCGAAAATAGGTCATGCATATCCTTATCCGAAACTCCAAAATCAAGATTAGATACAATTAGTTTAGCTGATTCTGATTTTTTTATAGCGCCAACAGTTTTAGGTCCATCAAAATGATTACGTTTCCAAGTATTATTTTTGTTTCCAGTGAATTTTGCTTTTTGAATGCCCCCATGACCGTGTCCCTTTTGAACAGCATTAGCTTTTTTCACCACAGAGTTCTTATTTTCAGTTGAGTTTTTACGATTTCCAGTATTACGACGTGCTCCAGTTGTTCCAGTGGGCTTTCTTGTCTTATTACCTCGGTTAGCTTTAATGATGTCATCCAAACTCATTTCAATATGATGTGCCATAGTTAATGATTTAATTTATTTTTCTGTATTTTATTATTAAAATTCAATGTTTACAGATAAACTGTGTATTCTTAATAACGATGTATTCGAGTTGAATAAATTTTAATTACTGACTTATGTTCTCAATATGCACTTGTTTTATACTATATTCGTCAACGTACTAAGATATGAAATTTTTAAAATTAATTATATTTTTTCGGGAATCAGGTAAAAATCCACCTGTTTTATTTGGTAATTAGTGGTCTGTATCAATAAAGCATGTACTTAGAACATATTATTTTATTACCTGTATTGCTGATATATTTCCTCCATTCATTTTTGTCCTTGAACTTTTATAACTCCTAAGAATACAAATGCTTTTTAATCTGAAATGTTTAAATAATTATTTGGAATAATAATTATGACTATGTAGACTAAAAGGATAGAAATCGAATATCATAAAAAATGTGTTGATAATTTTGAAATGTTTAAATAATTATTTGGAATAATATTTATGACTATGTAGACTAAAAGGATAGAAATTGAATACCATAAAAAATGTGTTGATAATTTCAAATATTCTTGATAAAATTTTTAAATATTCAGTTTCATATATTTATGTATTTAAATTGAAATATCATCCTACTGCTAAGGAAAATGTTTATTAGATTTGAAAACATATCCAGATGTTCCCCCGAGATACAATTTAAATAAAGAAGATTTCTTTGACCTAACAAGCTTAGATATTCTTTTAATATAATTAGATATTTATTTACGATGTCCATTAGGTTATCCCATATTTTAAAGGGTTTCATATTTGTATACTTTATTATGGCCGGTCTAGGATTTTACTACAAAAAGTCTTTCATAGAAGAATTCTTCTGGAAGATTATTTATCCAGAATTATTGAAATCGCCGTAAGGAAACAAAAATAAAATTTTTAAGTTTTGCATAAAGTTTGCTTATATAGCGATATAACTTCATTCTTTGTCGATTGTATAAGCTTTACTCTATTGCAAATTACAACGTTCCCTTGCAAAAAATTTACGTAAGTTTTTAGCCAGGAATTAATTAATAAAAGTTTTCGTTTTCTTCCTCCAATTCGATCAAAACCACTAAAAGTTTTTCCATTTTTAAACTAATCGTGTTTAATGATTTTAGATATTACATATAACATTAATAGAACATATTGTCCTAATCTTAATTAGTGCTCTTTTTAGTATACTTCCTTAATACGCCCTACTCGTAATAAGAATTATTAATTTCAATATAGCCAATTATAGCCATTTACTTCAAAATTGGGCTTACTACCCTTAATAGAGATTATTAAATATTTTTTCAGTACTGTAATATTATAATGTATTGTCTATGATTAGAGCTATTAACTTCAAAAGGAGTTCTGTTTTAGTATTAATTCCATATTCGTAGAGTCCAGTTCTTTTAAAATTTAGAAGAATTAGAATTCCTAATATATGCTACCATTGGCTTAATAGGCAATTGGGAATATAAGTTCATATAGTTCGTGCTTCTATGTGAATGGCGCAGAAGTATAGATAGCAGACGTATATATATATAGTTTTCTGGGTCTCTTCAGAACAAACCATTCATAACAGAAACATTAATTATTTTCATATTACCTTTCAATATATTAAAGAAAATCAGTATTAAAGAAAATCTTTATTTATCTACTTTTCACTTTGAAATTAGAAGAAAGTCAGATTAAATTTATATTGTATCTATTATAGACTGATCCATTTAATAATGTTGAAATCAATTAAAATCCCAAATTTATACAGATTATCAAGGAACTTGAATTTTGCATGAATATGACTATTTTGACAACTAGACTGTTATGGCGACATACTGTCAAATTTTTGGAAAATGTCAAAACAGGTGAAGCAGTTGTGGCTTTTCTACTTGTTAAGCCATAAAATGGCACAATTGCCGATTATTTGCCTACAAATCCCCCATGTTTACCATAAATATATAAATATATGAGCTTATATGAGCTGAATGCAAGAGACCAATCTGATCAATTAAGCCAAGTAGGATGAATTTAATATTTGAAAAAAGAAATATCAGTTTTTAGTGTATACAGTTTTTAGTGTTTATTTGAAAAACTTTTATTGTTGCAAGAACAAGATGAGACTTAATTATAATATTTTACATATATTTTACATATGAAATTTAAAAATAATACAAATTAAAATAAAAACTTTAGTTTTAAGCAGTTTAGTTTTTCCTCAAGCAGTTTCGACTTTATCTTTTCTTTCTTTGATGTAAGCATCTAATTGTGCATCTAGTTCTTCAGCTGTCGGACTTTCACGTTTTTTTCCTTTAGCAACACCTTTTCCACCATGGTTATTTTTAAATGATGTCTTCTTTTGAGATGTAGTAGGTCCTTCTTTCGTTTGTTTTGGAGAAGGCGCTTGTCGCTTTTTTACAGCAGCTATTCTATTGCCAAGACGTTCTTGCAATCCGTTTTTGAATACCGATAAGTCTGAAGTCACTAATTGTATATTCATAGGTCGTCCATCTAAAGTTACTCCATTGTATTGTTTAATTGCTTTGTAGGCATCGGTGACTCTTTCGAAAATTACATCAGCTGTAGCTAAGGAGCGTCCAGAGCGATCATAATGCACTGCTGCTTTCTTTAATATTCCACATTCCGAAAATAGGTCATGCATATCCTTATCCGAAACTCCAAAATCAAGATTAGATACAATTAGTTTAGCTGATTCTGATTTTTTTATAGCGCCAACAGTTTTAGGTCCATCAAAATGATTACGTTTCCAAGTATTATTTTTGTTTCCAGTGAATTTTGCTTTTTGAATGCCCCCATGACCGTGTCCCTTTTGAACAGCATTAGCTTTTTTCACCACAGAGTTCTTATTTTCAGTTGAGTTTTTACGATTTCCAGTATTACGACGTGCTCCAGTTGTTCCAGTGGGCTTTCTTGTCTTATTACCTCGGTTAGCTTTAATGATGTCATCCAAACTCATTTCAATATGATGTGCCATAGTTAATGATTTAATTTATTTTTCTGTATTTTATTATTAAAATTCAATGTTTACAGATAAACTGTGTATTCTTAATAACGATGTATTCGAGTTGAATAAATTTTAATTACTGACTTATGTTCTCAATATGCACTTGTTTTATACTATATTCGTCAACGTACTAAGATATGAAATTTTTAAAATTAATTATATTTTTTCGGGAATCAGGTAAAAATTCACCTGTTTTATTTGGTAATTAGTGGTCTGTATCAATAAAGCATGTACTTAGAACATATTATTTTATTACCTGAATTGCTGATATATTTCCTCCATTCATTTTTGTCCTTGAATTTTTATAACTCCTAAGAATACAAATGCTTTTTAATCTGAAATGTTTAAATAATTATTTGGAATAATAATTATGACTATGTAGACTAAAAGGATAGAAATCGAATATCATAAAAAATGTGTTGATAATTTTGAAATGTTTAAATAATTATTTGGAATAATATTTATGACTATGTAGATTAAAATGATAGAAATTGAATACCATAAAAAATGTGTTGATAATTTCAAATATTCTTGATAAAATTTTTAAATATTCAGTTTCATATATTTATGTATTTAAATTGAAATATCATCCTACTGCTAAGGAAAATGTTTATTAGATTTGAAAACATATCCAGATGTTCCCCCGAGATACAATTTAAATAAAGAAGATTTCTTTGACCTAACAAGCTTAGATATTCTTTTAATATAATTAGATATTTATTTACGATGTCCATTAGGTTATCCCATATTTTAAAGGGTTTCATATTTGTATACTTTATTATGGCCGGTCTAGGATTTTACTACAAAAAGTCTTTCATAGAAGAATTCTTCTGGAAGATTATTTATCCAGAATTATTGAAATCGCCGTAAGGAAACAAAAATAAAATTTTTAAGTTTTGCATAAAGTTTGCTTATATAGCGATATAACTTCATTCTTTGTCGATTGTATAAGCTTTACTCTATTGCAAATTACAACGTTCCCTTGCAAAAAATTTACGTAAGTTTTTAGCCAGGAATTAATTAATAAAAGTTTTCGTTTTCTTCCTCCAATTTGATCAAAACCACTAAAAGTTTTTCCATTTTTAAACTAATCGTGTTTAATGATTTTAGATACTACATATAACATTAATAGAACATATTGTCCTAATCTTAATTAGTGCTCTTTTTAGTATACTTCCTTAATACGCCCTACTCGTAATAAGAATTATTAATTTCAATATAGCCAATTATAGCCATTTACTTCAAAATTGGGCTTACTACCCTTAATAGAGATTATTAAATATTTTTTCAGTACTGTAATATTATAATGTATTGTCTATGATTAGAGCTATTAACTTCAAAAGGAGTTCTGTTTTAGTATTAATTCCATATTCGTAGAGTCCAGTTCTTTTAAAATTTAGAAGAATTAGAATTCCTAATATATGCTACCATTGGCTTAATAGGCAATTGGGAATATAAGTTCATATAGTTCGTGCTTCTATGTGAATGGCGCAGAAGTATAGATAGCAGACGTATATATATATAGTTTTCTGGGTCTCTTCAGAACAAACCATTCATAACAGAAACATTAATTATTTTCATATTACCTTTCAATATATTAAAGAAAATCAGTATTAAAGAAAATCTTTATTTATCTACTTTTCACTTTGAAATTAGAAGAAAGTCAGATTAAATTTATATTGTATCTATTATAGACTGATCCATTTAATAATGTTGAAATCAATTAAAATCCCAAATTTATACAGATTATCAAGGAACTTGAATTTTGCATGAATATGACTATTTTGACAACTAGACTGTTATGGCGACATACTGTCAAATTTTTGGAAAATGTCAAAACAGGTGAAGCAGTTGTGGCTTTTCTACTTGTTAAGCCATAAAATGGCACAATTGCCGATTATTTGCCTACAAATCCCCCATGTTTACCATAAATATATAAATATATGAGCTTATATGAGCTGAATGCAAGAGACCAATCTGATCAATTAAGCCAAGTAGGATGAATTTAATATTTGAAAAAAGAAATATCAGTTTTTAGTGTTTATTTGAAAAACTTTTATTGTTGCAAGAACAAGATGAGACTTAATTATAATATTTTACATATATTTTACATATGAAATTTAAAAATAATACAAATTAAAATAAAAACTTTAGTTTTAAGCAGTTTAGTTTTTCCTCAAGCAGTTTCGACTTTATCTTTTCTTTCTTTGATGTAAGCATCTAATTGTGCATCTAGTTCTTCAGCTGTCGGACTTTCACGTTTTTTTCCTTTAGCAACACCTTTTCCACCATGGTTATTTTTAAATGATGTCTTCTTTTGAGATGTAGTAGGTCCTTCTTTCGTTTGTTTTGGAGAAGGCGCTTGTCGCTTTTTTACAGCAGCTATTCTATTGCCAAGACGTTCTTGCAATCCGTTTTTGAATACCGATAAGTCTGAAGTCACTAATTGTATATTCATAGGTCGTCCATCTAAAGTTACTCCATTGTATTGTTTAATTGCTTTGTAGGCATCGGTGACTCTTTCGAAAATTACATCAGCTGTAGCTAAGGAGCGTCCAGAGCGATCATAATGCACTGCTGCCTTCTTTAGTATTCCACATTCCGAAAATAGATCATGCATATCTTTATCCGAAACTCCAAAATCAAGATTAGATACAATTAGTTTAGCTGATTCTGATTTTTTTATAGCGGCAACTCTTTTAGGTCCATCAAAATGATTACGTTTCCAAGTATTATTTTGGTTTCCAGTGAATTTTGCTTTTTGAATGCCCCCATGGCCGTGTCCCTTTTGAACAGCATTAGCTTTTTTCACCACAGTTTTCTTATTTTCAGTAGAGTTTTTACGATATCCAGTATTACGATGTCCTCCAGCTGTTCCAGTGGGCTTTCTTGTCTTATTAGCTCGGTTAGCTTTAATGATGTCATCCAAACTCATTTCAATATGATGTGCCATAGTTAATGATTTAATTTATTTTTCTGTATTTTACTATTAAAATTCAATGTTTACAGATAAACTGTGTATTCTTAATAACGATGTATTCGACTTGAATAAATTTTGATTACTGACTTATGTTCTCAATATTCACTTGTTTTATACTATATTCGTCAACGTACTAAGATATGAAATTTTTAAAATTTTTTATATTTTTCCGGGAATCAGGTAAAAATTTTCCTGTTTTATTTGGTAATTAGTGGTCTGTATCAATAAAGCATGTACTTAGAACATATGTATAAAAAGGGTTTCTGGAAAAATTTTCATTATTTTATTACCTGTATTGCTGATATATTTCCTCCATTCATTTTTGTCCTTGAATTTTTATAACTCCTAAGTATACAAATGCTTTTTAATATGAAATGTTTAAATAATTATTTGGAATAATAATTATGACTATGTAGACTAAAAGATAGAAATTGGATATCATAAAAAATGTGTTGATAATTTTGAAATGTTTAAATAATTATTTGGAATAATCTTTATGACTATGTAGACTAAGGGATAGAACTTGAATACTATAAAAACTGTGTTGACAATTTCAAATATTCTTGATAAAATTTTTAAATATTCAATTTCATATATTTATGTACTTAAATTGAAATGCCATCTAACTGCTAAGGAAAATGTTTATTAGATTTGAAAACAGATCCAGATGTTCTCCCGAGATACAATTTAAACAAAGAAGATTTCTTTAACGCAACAAGCTTAGATATTCTAAGCTTAGATGTCCTTTAGGTTATTCCATATTTTAAAGGGTTTCATATTTGTATACTTTGATATGGCCGGCCTAGGATTTTTCTACAGAAATTCTTTCATAGAAGAATTCTTCTGGAAGATTATTTATCCAGAATTATTGAAATCGCCGAAGGAGAATGAAATAAAATTTTTAAGTTTTGCATAAAGTTTGCTTAGATAGCGATATAACTTCATTTTTTGTCGATTGTATAAGCCTTGCTCTATTGCAAATTATAACGTTCCCTTGCAAAATTTTTACTAAACGTAAGTTTTTATCCAGGAATTAATTAATAAAAGTTTTCGTTTTCTTCCTCCATTTCGATCAACACTACTAAAAGTTTTTTAATTTTTAAACTAATCGTGTTTAATGATTTTAGATACTACATATAACATCAATAGAACATATTGTCCTATTCTTAATTAGTGTTCTTTTTAGTATACTTCCTTAATACGCCCTACTCGTAATAAGAATTATTAATTTCAATATGTTTATAGCGATTTACTTCAAAATTGGGTTTACGACCCATAATAGAGATTATTAAATATTTTTTCAGTACTGTAACAAATATAATCTTTATATTATAATTTATTGTCTATGATTAGAGCTATTAACTTCAAAAGGAGTTCTGTTTTAGTATTAATTCCATATTCGTAGAGTATAGTAAAGTCCAGTTCTTTTTAAATTTAGAAGAATTAGAATTGCTAATATATGCTACCATTGGCTTAATAGGCAATTGGGAATATAAGTTCATATAGTTCGCGCTTCTATGTGAATAGCGCAGAAGTATAGATAGCAGACGTATATAAAACAGCATTGGAAGTTTTCAAAACAAAAGTTCTTCATGAAATCTTTGACCCTTTACGAGTAAGCAAACATTACCGCATCTAAATGAACCAAGAGCTGTATAAGCTTGATCAACACTGTTATTTAATGCAGAGAACTAACATTCAATGGCTTAACTTTCTTCGAAATGTTGTAAGACGGGAATAACTATGTTGACGGAGAATAGATGATTAGAGATAAAAATATTTAAAGCAGCAGTTGAAGAAAGAGACACAGAGGTAAGCTGTGTCTCTGGTGAAACGAACAAATTGACGGATCAATAACGGCACTTGATGTGAGACTCTGTAAAATGCGTGTACGCAGCTGAGACGTCCGGAGGGAAGTGCTGTATTAAGCTCAAACCCGATAGCGGGATATTATAGCCATTTAACAGCAACAGCTCATAATATAGATTATTAAACAATTTCCAATCTTATTTTCCTAACACGTTGAAGACTGTCGCCTATATTTCACATTTGTTTATAGTTATAGCTATAGAAAACAATCAGTTTTGTGGAGTATCGTAATTTCTAGGTCTCTTCAGAACAA